GGTAGTAACAGATTTTGCCTGAATTAGGGTATCAGAATAAGAGTACTCTTACCACACTTGAAAGACCAAGTCCATATAATCTGCACTGAATAAGAAGCATTCTTCCTATCATCCATGCAACTCARTTTCCTGAAACTCAGACATTATGGCTTTTCATAGAAGGTGAAGGTCAGGTAAGAACATCCACAGATGTAAAAAAATACACTCAAATTAGTAAATTTGGGACCATAGTGGTGAAAAGTTTTGAAGAACCTAAAATAATCTAGCTGAAGGGTAACTCAAGGTACAGGGAATGCTATGCGGATAAATCAAATAAAGTACCTGCTAAAAGGAAAAAAAAAATCTACACATTGCAGTATCCTAAATGAACCCATGGACTCTGTAAAGGCATGTGGATGTAATGCTAGGTTTAGGCAGGGGCCATATGAGTAGCACATAAATGAAATGGGAAAGTCTGCATAAGCACAGAACATAAWTTTTATACCACATGGCCCCTGCCAGCCCACTGAACATGATGGGAACCAGGATGAGGAAACACCACAGGCTCAGCAACAAGGACTCTCTCCCTCTGCTTGGCAGACATCAGCAATTTAGAAAGGACTTTTGAGGCTCCCATAAAGGGCAGGACTCTCCTATAAATGCTTTCAGCTTGACTAACAGTTCCATAGGTAGCTCTCAAAGATGAACAGCCCCCTATACTACCATTTAATTCAAATCTCATTCATCACTATGCCAACCATACAGGTTTAAAGGCAGAATTACTAATTTCTGACAGGGGATAGTAACAGAGGGATTGCAAGTGTCATGAGCCTCTCTGCAAATGAAAGGCAGAAAGGTCCAAGAAGTACAAAATTTACTGAAGTTGAGGTGGTTCTGGACCTTATTCCAGAAATGGATTCCATCAATTAGTGCTACGTTATGAGCCCATGTTTTTAACAGGGAAGGACAGAGATGTTATTCCTTCCTTGCCACTATCACAGACAAGGTGGAGTCACCCACGAGCCGAGGCAGAATTCACCTCACAGAGCCAGGGAGAAGCTGGGTGGCTGCTGTGTGTCGGCTGCAATGATGGAGAGAGATCAGGGGGGACTCAGCACTGCTAACAGAGGTGTCTGCAGTAGGTGGGGACTCATCCTTGGGGTGCTCCTCTCCATGGGTGCTCACAGGATCCTAGATCATGGCATCAATTGCATGCCTGCCTTTCYGTCCTGGTCCTGGCATGCATGACAAGACATTGCTTTCTTGTTATCTTGCACATATTTTGGGCTTTTGGAGGAATGCACAACTTTGTCTGGGACTTGATGCACTCAGTTAAGGCCTTAGGTATGCAGGACACTAGATCTATAAAATGATTTTCACAACTTTAGACAATTTGTGCTTCAATTATATGACATCTCAGGCCTTATCTGCATGTGATGGCAGTATCAGCAAGGTCAGAGTGAGAGTAAGGCCCAGACTCTGGCAGATGACCAGCATAGGCAGCAGTACACTGGTCATCATGTTCTAACCAGCAACGCAGAACATTTTATCACTAAGRTGGTAAAACATGGCACATTGAACACAGAACATTTGGATATCCTATTCTGTTTTCCATCTTCCCATGAATCCACGGCATCATTAACAGACATGCTGAGGAGTGGATTGTCAAAAAGTCTGTAGTCTTATTTTTRTAAGAGCTTGTTATGTAAAGACTAAAATGGAATAAATTAGAAAAGCTTAATAAGTAGTCATCTTGCAATATTAGAACAACAGAAAAAGTTCTTAAGTTAGGTCAGATGTAGAGAGGAAACCAGTGATTATTGTGAAACTGCACCTACTCAGTGTGCTTGGGCATCTGTGGCCAGGTGTCTCCTCTCTACTTGGGGGCTGCCAGAACTGCTGCACAGGACCCAGAAAACAAAAAGCAGGACTCAGAAACAGGACTAGGATTTCCTTTTGGGGGAATCCAGAGATCTGCCAGTGGGCCATCTGGAATGCCACCTCTGCTCTCTGATCTTTCYGTGTTAACACATCTCTGAACAAAAAGCATAAAGTCCTCCTGAAGGCAAAAAAAAAGATTGACATCAACATTTATGGAGTCGGGCCACAAGGACAGGATCCAAAAGCTTTGCTTTGCATCCAGATGTGCTTTTAGTTGATATCTTCCCTAAGGGAATAAACATTTCTCTGTCTGTCAGACTGTGGTTATGTTAAATGCTTTAAACCCATGTCTCATAATGAGCACCGCTGAGAGCACTGGCTCTGTACAGCAGATGGCTGCAGAACATGAGCGCCCTGAGAAATCCAGGGGATGGTCTTGAGCCGTGTTTTTATGTCATTTGCCTTCAGCTGGCACTGGAAAACCCAATACATCACTTTGACACCGAGAGTGCTAATCCTCCACCAGGATAACACCCCAGCAGAGCTCCTGCCTTCCTGAGCTGCACAGTTCAGAACTGTGATTTCACTGCTTGTACATGCAGTAGTTTTCACCTCTAAGGAAAGATAACTTTTTTGCCTCTTATGACTGTTTTTCTCTTGGAACATTTTAAAATGAGACCTTTCTGGGCGTCTTGGAAATGAAGCAAATAAAGAAGTGGATCGAATTGCCTGTCTTTGAGTAGAGGGACACCAAATAAGCACTGTATTTCAAAACTGGTTAATAATGTTCATGGAGGGCTTGATTCCACCAAAGTTAGTCATGCTGAGTAGTTTCTTTTTCCACAAGTAGCCTATTCATCTCAATTAGATTAGTCACAGCACAAGGRGAACAGAATTGGACTCTGAATAATTTCAATTAATTTTCTGCTGTAAAAAAGCACTATTAATTAATATTTCCCGTTTCCTCGGCATTTGGCAAATATGTTTTAACTATGCATAAATATTACTCATTTTCTACACATAAAACATTTTYGATAGTTTGTCAAGTTCCACTTAGCTTTTTAATACAGTTTTTTGTCTAAGCATAATTCACTGCATGATCTAAACAGAAGTGCCAGCCCAAAGCAGGCATTGCTTTATTTTGCTAAAATTTAGAGTATTTGCAATGAGGGCCAAATTTTTTATGTACAGAATTAGGAGAAATATTAGACTGGTCTAGTGATATTACTGTTGACTAATGTTATCTTTTCTATGTCTTTAATATTATCTTACCTATGTAGGGAAGTAATGAGTTCTGCATTTAATCCTCTTGGTTGAACACGATGCAGTTTTGAATCAAAACTCTCTTCCACCCTTACATGCTGCTCTGGGTCTTCTTCCATGTAGGATATGTTCTTCCCTTCTGAAAACCACAATGTGGTAAATAAATTGCAAAGTATCAGTGTGTAGTTATCTCTAAATGCAGGAGAGGGGATCTCGTGGAGAGTCTAAAGCATACACATGGCTTCAGGATCAGAGGTGGTGACTTTGCTCCAAGAACRTACCTGAAGAAAGGCACTGTGCTTCCAGAAAGAGGTGCTACAGCTGGATGAAATTCCTGTATCAGAGGGCAGTGCTTCCCCTGCACCCAGGCAGGAAGGGAGTGGGTATTGACCCCAAAAGCAGGAGTGAGATGTTGTTCCTAAGTTTAGCCCTGTGGGTCCCACATGCTAAAGGATTCAGTTTCTGGGTCCCTTCTTCTGATCATAAGCAAGGGTATAACCAGCTTAATGAAAGGTTCAGCAAAAGCTTCCAGAGGGAAATGGAGGGAAATTCGTCTGCCATCAAGTGGGGTACTTAGGAGGTCAGGGCAGTCAGGTGAACTTTGGGATTGAGGTACACCAGCTCCAGTCTCACACAAACATTCCTGGACCACTTCTGCAGACAGAGGTGTTCCATGACTCGGTGCCATGGGGAAGGGGAGGGGGCACTGCTTGTTTGCCTGATCTGCTGCTGGATAAATGCACCTAGACAGGTTTGCATCAGAAGTATCTTTAGCTGATGAAAGCATCTGGCCAGCTCTGCTAAGGAGAATCTTCTGCGAGAGCCTCTGGAAACACCTGAAAAAGTTCCACCTGCTGCCTGCATATCCACAGGAGTTTTTGGTGGCATTTGATGAGGTCCAAGTCTGTGCTCACATCTAAGAGCTTGTCTTTGATGTGCTCCAAGTGAACTATGAARGTTAGAGGAAAATGTGGAAAAGGCAGAAACTGCTTTCATGGAAGCTTAGATATCTGTCTTTTTAATATCTCCTGTGAAACTAATACCTGCCAGGAGTTTCACGCTGTTGTCTTACATAACTACACCAATTCTGTCCCCTGCATCACTGCTCTGACAGACACACAACCGTCCCCTCCCAAACAAGCAGCTGATCTCCACAAGGCAAACCAGCAACTTAAGGAACCAGATTGAGAGCCACAAAGCAGATACCTCACCTCCATTAATTTCTGCAGGAATCAGGCTGTGTTATAGATCAGGACCTTAGTTATTCTGAACACAGAGCATAAACAAAAGAAAAACTCATGTTATGAATACAAAAGAGGTACATTTGTTTCACAATGCTGCACTGGATTATACAGCTGACATTACAGAGGAGTAGCTTCAGGGAAAACAATGTTTGTCAGCATCCTTGAATACTGAAAATTTAAAATCCATAAGCAGAGAAACTAAAGAGATGATCAGACCTCTTCAACCAGTCATCCAGAATGCAGTATTAATTTGCTGCTCTACCAAACCCTGAAATGCTGTTCTTAATAGATGGGGAGTGATTTGCTAAGATCCATGTCATTTGCCTCTGGGATTTATAGAGATAACAGCAAGATCAGATAGAATTAACACTTTATCCTATAATATCTCATTTCTCTGAGAACATCTGAAAACACTTTACAAGTAGCAGTGGTCCCTCACTGATGCATGGAACACTGGGCACTGTCACTTCAGAAAAATGGACAAAGGAACAATGTTGCTCTCCTCCTCAGCAAATATAATCATAGGCAAGAAAYGAGCAACTTTCCATCACTGCTTTGCTTCATGGACATTTCTTTCAGAGCATTMCTTGTAAAATAAATTAAAAATAAATGGTGCACATAGGTACTATTTTTTCTTACCATAGAAAAGGTCTTCCCACTGGACCAGTAATGGCATACTACAGCAGTGATACTGGTCTCCATTATCTCAGAAGCTGCATTTTCTAGTTGCTGACACTGAACAGCTGGTCTGATTGGTTTCACATTACAAAGATGGTATAAATTAAGTTGCCATGTGAATCAAGAATGAATCTCCCACACAAAAAGATATGCAATACCTTTTATTTAGCCTTGTGCACTAGAAGTGTTCACAATACTGAAACCTACCATCCTGCAGTGAGGGAAACATATATTGGGCCTTATCTATGAAAACCAAAGACATTCCTTTAGGCTTTGACTTTAAGAGTAGGTGAATCCATATAAAATATGGATTTTTATCCTTACAGCTTTAAAGAAATTTCTGCAGTATAGCTGTGGTTTTTTCAACAGTGTAGGGTTTTTCCTATTTGTCATTCAGACATACAGAGTTATATAGAGGGGTTAATGAATATCCAGTTTGATGATGGCACCCCAGGGACCTGTGTTTTATTGGAAAGATGCTCCTTTAACAGATATCTCACTTACCCATCAACTTTGAGGTGTAAGACTGAGGATTTCTACATTATCATTTCACTTATACAAGTACTGCCTTTAAAAGAAATTGTTTCTTGCAGCGGTCCTCTGGAATTTCTGGATGACCTAGTTCCCTCCTGAGGGATGACTCCTAAACTCACTTAAATCAAAGGCAGTTATCCTTAATTCTTTAAAATAACTTTGGGAAATAAAGAATTGGTGTTGTTTTTATGCTGGCTCAGAAGTACCTTCAAGACAAAGTTCATTTTGGCACATCCAATCAAGTAAGGGATTAATGGCTCTCGTGTGGGAAAAAACAAGRCATAGGCAGCTTCAAGGAGTCATCACACCACCTTGCTCTTTGACCATTCTTGCTTTAGAAAAYTGGCTTTTGCCTGCCCTTGCAACTGCCAGCAAGGAGAGGCAACTGGAACCTCACAAAAAGAACAAATCAAGCCTAGTCGGGCCACCTTCTCCTTTTWCTTTTTTTGTGCAAACACCTCTCTGAACCCATCAGAGGGAMACGCCMTTTCTCTCAGATATTTGAGCACACACCRACATCATTTCCTCTTGTGGAACAGTGCCATCACGTTTCCCTTGCTGGAAGCATTTTCGCAGCGTGCAAAGGCCCTTAGCAATGTGCAGCCCCAGTGAGGATGTGCTGATGGCTCTACTCTTTGACTGCATTCCTGCCCACAGCCATAACCTGCTGCATGGTGCCCCCAGCTCCCTGTGGGATCACAGCGAGCTTTCACCAAGTGAAAATGCTCTCTAAATCCTGCTTATCTAGCAAGAAGATTTGCAAAGAAGGAGCCCTCTGCCCCCTCATCTTGCACAGACGGTCTGACTCACTGGACTCAGGATTCCCATCTGGATGTCTCTTTGAAAGATGGGTGCAAGCCAAGGAGTTTGTCTATTCTTAGCCTTATCTGCTATAAAGATAGTTTTCCCCATAAAAACCTACTGTCGTTCAGCCATCTCAGAGAACACCTGTCTCCAAGCAAAAACAGCAGCAGTGTGAATCCTGTTCCCTGCTCATTTTAATGCGGTGTTAATATCAGAGCYCGATGGAGATTATATAAGTGCTGACATAGCTGAGGAAAACCGCGAAAAAAAAACAAAAATAAATGGAAGTCAAATAATTTGAACCCTGTCACCATGCAGTGCCAACTACAGGAATGTGAAYGGCACTTGGAGGCAGAAAAATCTTCTTACACCTCCTGTGCTCCAGAAATGACACCAYTTGCTTGCCAGCTTCTCCGACCAGCAGCTTCCCACTTTCTCCTRTGCTGCTTGAGGACATGGCATGTCCTGGTGACGTGATCCACAAAACCGTGCCTCTCTCAGCCCTGCTCCCCTCCCCTTGTGCTCGGGATTTCTGCGGGAGCTTGGCCCCTGGCAGCCAGGCAGCCGCAAAGAGGGATGCCAGAGGGGGCAGTGTATATTAAAAAACAACGCGCAGCCTCTTAAACCGCCTCGAACAAAATTGTGCAATAATTGGCTTGTGCAACCATGTGATCTTATCACTGTGAGCCAGGGTTTTCAGAGGAAACTGAAAGGAGTGAAACACCCACTAGATCCTGCTTCAGATCATCTGAAAAGCTCGGCTGTTTCCTTCGTCCTCCTCTCTTCATGTTTTACAATTTGCTCGTGGTGGTATTTCTCCCTGAGCTCCTGGGAGGCCAGGCTCTTTGCCAGATCTGTTTGTACACACTCCCAGGGTAGGTTTGGGTTGTTGGCCAGTTTCCCTGTGTCCTGGCTTTCCCTGTAGCTTGGAGCTAAGGCAGCCCCGGTCATCTTCCAGCAAAAGTCTGGTATGGCCAGGCAGGGCCAGCCAAGCGTGGGATGGACTGGCCCTGTCTCTAAAGGGCTCTGCAGGCTACCACCCTAACAGGGCCAGGGCTGTGGGGGCCACCTTGAAGAGTGATGTCTTGAGACAGACAAGATATGGAGATTTTAGAGAATGAGGAAAGATAAATCTTCCTTACTACACGGTTAAGACAGAAAAGTAACAGTCTGTAAAAACAGGAATATATTAGAGCAGAGCATACTGCTGTGCTGGGTAATTCCTGTGCTGGGTTTATAAAGAACATTCAGGAGGATGGTGTTTCTGGGCTCTTGGCTGTYCATGACAATACCCTTTCCCACAGATGTATCCTGGAGCTTGCCCCACCTTCAGAAGGGATCTCTGGTTGCAGCACTGTGTCTGTCTGCCAGGGTTACGGGGTGCAGCTGGCTGTGCTTCCTGCCCACGAGTGTTTCCTGTGGATGCTGTGATCAGTCAGGGRTGCAGGGAGACATGAGTGGCATGGGGAGCAGGAGCACTGGGTGCTGGGATGGCAGGWCCAACACGAAGCTTTGGACTCTTCTGATAGTCAGTGGAGAGAAATCAAGAATCCTTGTGCACATATGAAAAAAAAGATCAGGCAAAACACCTTTTAAGTGTCTGTTTCTCTCTTAACTACAAAGAGAGTCCAGTTGCTTAGCTGAGAGATGTGGAAAGCCCTGAGATCAGGTGGTATCAATCTCACCACAGCTTTAGAAACCAGGACAATTTCACACAAGGACTTGATATATGGCACTTATGWGGGGACACAATGATGTGGACACACTTACATTAACGTAACATTATACTAGTGTGCATGAGAAACTGTCATCCTCGAGGTGGTATAAACATACCCTTAGTCCTACAGTCAAATAGCATTAGCATCAGACAGCTACTCAGTACTTAAAACTGTGCAAAACACCAGGAAAATGCCCAGAAGTAGTCTGGGACCAGAGTGACCCCAGAGCTGCCAAGCCCAAAATTGGAGGAGTGTGGGACAYAAGGCCTCATCTAGAAGTCATGCATGTGCCACAATTCTTTTCTTTTTTAGTACAAACTGCCCTTGATTAGTCATCGACCTGGTTTAGAAGTTGCACCGCTCCCACTCAAGCTGTGAGTGKAGAACATATTTAAATATAATAGACTCCACGATCATTTTAAAACTGGCCTAGATCTRGGCCCGTGGGGGACTGTAACTAATTTGATAGAAGCTGTAGCTTCTAAATAGAACCACCTGAGACCTCTCCAGAGTTCAGCTGTGGGGTTCACTGTTCCAGCACAAAGCCTCAGCTCAGCTCCTGTACTTCTTCACAGCCTTTCTCAGCAGAGAGGATGATTTGGGGGGCAGCAAAATCGGTTTCCTGATGGATAGCCTTCCCAGTGGGAATTATGAAGCAGAGGGAGGAGCGGAATTATGGTTTCAGCTCCCCAAACCATTGGAGGGCTGCATTTTTGCACAGTTTTGAGTCAAAACCATATGCAGCTCCACGGTTTTGGCTGTGGTTTGCCTTGGGTTTTTTTGAGCTAACTGCAATAGTGACTGATCCAAAAGGTAGGAGTAAGTAAAGTCACCGTATGTTTTAAACCTTCCATGCTGGAATGTTTTTTTGCAGTATGCAAGTCCCGTTTTTAATGTCAGAAGCACTTCCCACCTTAGATTTTCACTTCTTCAGCATTGACTAAGCACCTCTGCAAACTCAGGACGAAATATCTGCCTTTCACCCATGAGCACAACAGTGTCAAGCCAGTAAGTTTGTGTTTCTGTAGTGATTTTGGCTGCATTATTTGCAATAGCTGGTACTCCTGCACCTTCCAGACCAGAACATCGCAGGGGCTGGCTGCAGAGTGAAAAAAACTTGGGCTGATGGTGGGTGGCACTTCAGTGCTACTGAAGCAAAAACATCAGCCTTCAGACGGCACCATAGCTGAGACTGCCTTGCCCATCTCTGATGTCTGCTGAAGTGGAAATCAGCCATTGCCCCAGGCTCTTTATTCAAATTTAATTTCTTTCAAATTTCATCTGTTCCCTCTCCAAAAAAAAAGGTTTAATGGAAGCTTTGTGTGAGAGTGTTATAGCTGCTGTGCTTGCCACCAAAATCTCTTTCCCACTCCTGTACCCTGGTATAAATATCACAAATCCATGAAAAAAAGAGACAGCAAAGTGTTAGTGGTACTGAGTTCTAGGATCATCTTTATTCACRGAATCACAGAATGATGGGAAGGGACCTCTGGAGATCACTTAGTCCAGCASCCCTGCTGAAGCAGGTTCACCTAGAACAGGTTGCATGGGATCATGTCCAGGCAGGCTTGAATATCTCAAGAGAAGGAGACTCCACAACCTCTCTGGGCAGCCTGTTCCCCTGGTTTTCTGTCACCCTCACAGCAAAGAAGTTTTTCTTCATATTCAGACAGAATTTCCTGTGTTTCAGGTTGTGCCCGTTGCTCTTCTCCTGTCGCTGGGCAGCACTGGAATGAATCTTGCCCCATTCTCTTATCTCCTGCCCTTCAGATATTTGTCTGCATTGATAAGATCCCATCCCAGCCATCTCTTCTCCAGGATGAACAGGCCCRGCTCCCTCAGCCTTTCCTTGTCAGAGAGATGCTCCAGCTCTCTCATCATCCTCACAGCCCTCCCCTGGGCCTGGTCCAGGAGTTCCTTGTGTTTCCAAAATGGGAGRGTTCAGAACTGGGCACAGCTCTCCAGATGTGGCCTCACCAGGGCCGAGCAGAGGGGCAGGACCATCTCTCCTGACCTGCTGGCCACACTCTTCCTGTCACCCCAGGCCACAAGGGCACACACACTGCTGGCCCACGGACAGCTTGTTGTCCCCAGGACCCACAGGTCCTTCTCTGCAGAACTCTTGCCAGCAGCTCAGCCCCCAGCCTGTCCTGGCACATGGATTTATTCCTTCCTGCCCATCCCTGCCCAGGTCAGGACCTTGCCCCTGCCTTCACTGAATTTCTCCCCAGCCTGTCCGGGTGTCTGAGCAGCAGCACAGCGCTCTGGGGTGTCAGCCCCTCCTGCCACTGCTGTGCCACCACTGAGTGCCAAACTCGCTGTCCCTTGGGMCAGGTCACTGTGAGCCCGTGGAACAGACTGGAGCCAGAACTGACCCCTGGGAACACCGTGAGCTGCAGCCTCCAGCCGGACCCTGCGGCTGATCACAGCCCTGTGAGCTCTGCTGTCCGGCCAGTGTCCAGTCACCTCACTCTGCTTCCTGAGCTCACCTGTGAGGATGTTATGGGACAGTGCCAAAAGCCTCGATGAAGCCAAAGCAGACAACATCTACTGCTGTCCCCTCATCTACCCAGCCAGTCATGCCATCACAGAAAGCAGTCAGGTGGGTCAAGCATGATTTGCTCCTGCTGAGTCCATGATGACTGTTCCTAAACACCTCATTTTTCTTCACATGCTTAGACATGTGACATCCAGCATGAACTGTTCCTTCACCTTTCCTGGGACTGAGGTGACGCTCACTGGCCAACAGTTCCCTGTTTCCTTCTTGTAGCCCATTTTGAAGCCTGCAGTGGCACTGGCTTTCTCCAGTCCTCAGGCAMCTCTCCTGTTCTCTATGACTTTSAAAGATGRTGGAGAGCCAGATGGTAACATCTGCCAGCTCCCTCAGCACTCATGGACACATCCCATTGGGCTGCATGGATGTGTGTGTGACAAATTTGCTTACATGAACTGTAACCTGAGCCTCCTTGACCAGTGGGAAGTTCTCATTTCTCCAGTCTTGGTCTCTTTCCACCGGGGTCTGGGATTCCTGATGGCCACACCCGGCAGTAAGGATTGAGGCAAGGAAGGCATTCAGTAACTCCACCTTCTCTGTATCCTCTGGCATCAAGGTGCCAACCTTGTGCAGAAGCAGACCCACATTTTCCTGTTTTCTTTTTGTTACTTATTCAATGCAGATGATGCTACAATGTATATTCTGAATGCAGTGCTACACAACTGACCAAAGATTCCAATGCAGGTAAGGGTCACCTGTAAGAACATAGATATCAAATGTAGCTTATGTGCTAACTTTTTTCGCATTAAGTGAAAGCAGGCATTCCTAAAATGTTGATTATGTTATGGCCTCTTCACACCAGCACAGTCAGTGTTGCACAGTCTGTAACATTCACAACGAACTCCACATCATCAGAACTGTATCATGCCCTTTCTTGCCTGGGGCTCAGGAATGATCCAAAAGGGAGACTTTCCCCCCAGATTTGAATAAAGGAGGAATGTGGCTCACTTTACATGCAGACAGGGTTAATTTTTTCTTCTTCCTGCATTCTTTCGAGCAGCCATCCCGAGGAGAAGTGTCATATTACCTTACCTCTCATTCCGAGGCTTCTAAGCTGGACCTGGATTTGAATTTCCGTGGCATTAGAGAGGAGTCTCAGTGTTCTGGTTTGGGTCCATTGCACAATGGTGGGTGGGAACTTCACATGAAGGGAGTTTGATTTGCTTATTCCCATTCCAGCCTCTGGTTTTACACAAATTCTGTGTCTAGTCGCCCCCATTTTGTGCAGCTGTGGAAGATGCGGGGACGAATCACTTCATTAAAGAGGAAATGAAGCATTGCCTTCCCACGGGAGAATTCCTGAAGACAGAAAGACAGGGTGGTTAGCACTGCAGCCYTGTCCTGGCTTGCCTACACATGAAAGTTATTTCAGAATAAGCCAGGGGTTGAATGTAAAGCAGCACAGGCATTCCACAAGTGCTGCGTGTGCTGCTAAATCTCAGCAGAAGCAATGGGCCGCAGTGGCTGCACGCTGATTCATTGGGACTTGCCCATGTCTTCTTTAGCTGTGTCCAGCAGAAAGAAGCAGGCGAAGATTTTTGGAAAAAGCAGTAGTAAACTACTATACAAAAGCAGTAGTAAACTACTGCAGAATAGTCAGAATTAAATAAAGAATTCTTATTTTCCTGACTTCACAACACTGAAGCAATGAGACATCTCCAATACTTCTTTTCAGAGTAGAATGAGAAATCAAGGTGAAGATACATGGAAAGGTGACTTCAAACCATTTTGTTCCTTCTGGTTTCATACCAAAGATATTTCAGTGGCCTGTGGCCCTTCAGCTGCCCATGCCTGGCTCAGCACAGCCACTGGGATGCTCACCGTCGCTCTTCACCACTTGAAAGGCACCATGCTGTGGAGCCAGAGGAGCCAGAGGAGCTGATCACAGTCCAGAAACATCTACTCCATTTCCCACATCAGCACAGATGCAATCCAAAGACAAACGCTGCCTGGTATCACTTTATCCAGCTTTCACCCAAGTGTTCTATGCCAACTTAGAGCACCAGCTTTACAGGGATGGCCTTTGACAGAAACTTCACATCTACCATTTCCTGAGCAGTCTGGCAGTGCACCTTTGGCTGCACCGCCACCCCTCCCTGCTGCTCGCTGCATGGCAGAAGAAGGGCAGTCAAACTGGTACAAACCCCATCCCTGGAAGTGTTCAAGGCCAGGCTGGATGGAGCCCTGAGCAACCTGGTCTAGGAACTGTGTCCCTGCCCAGGGCAGACAGGTTGGAACAAGATGATCTTTAAGGTCCCTTCCAACCCAAATCATTCTGTGATTCTATGGCAGTATGTTGGAAATGAAATGTTTTCAGAAGGGTGACTGCTGAAGTGAACACCATTCAGTGTTTTCAGCATAAAACTAAATATGTTTTTATCATCTTCTCATCCCCCAAATGTGGTAGACTCCAGACTTCCCAGCTGCCTGAAGCAGAACCACCTTATGCCCCCMAAATTTAGGAAATATTTCCCCTGGATTTATAAGTATGCACTTTTTTGTCTTCCCTAGAATGTGATCAGAGACTAATGATCAAAATTTACTCTAACAATGGCATAAAGATTTGTTTGGTTTTTTTTAATCCCAAGAAGTCCTAGGCTATGTCCTTACTTTAAATTTTTAAAAAAAATGCATTTTGATGTACCTATAAAGTCCAAACTGAAATAGGTTTTCCTACTGTTCTGCCACAAACTGACTGCTAGAACAGGGGTTAGGTTCAATTTTTAGAGGGTCTATCCAAAAGAAATAAGAACATTTAAGYATTATTTTGAGCTTCCATGGAGAAATCTGGGGAAACTGCAGTATATTACCAGGCCTCATTGTGTGAAACATCTCCAACTGTGAGCAATAAAGTAAAAAATGTATTTGAACAGACATAACATCTTTGGAAGTGGATGAAAGAAAAGCTCAATAAATCACATCAATTTGGTAAATCTGAACAACGCTCTCCAACACCTTTCACTTGGCACATTGGCAGATATTTTCTCCTCTAGCTGGAAATGCTCTGCAGTGAGCAGCTCCTGCCCTCTCCCACCCCTGCTCTCCGTAGCACTTTTTTTCTCCAGCTCAGAGAAATGCAGTCAGGGAACATGCTGATGTCTTGCTCCTGTTTTCTGCAGCAAAGATATAATTCTTTAGTCAAATACATCAATTCTATAGAGGTAAAGCTTCAAAAACAGACATACGCACAGTGCTCCAGAGAAGAGTTACCATCTGCCTTCCCCTCTCCTCCTCCTCCTCAAAGGAAGAAAGAAATGTAGCTGAGGCTTAGCTCTTCATTACCTGCTTGCACTGACATTCRTGAGATTCCCTGCAGGATTTTTCTTGCTAACCAGGCAGGATGAACACCCACAAAAATTGGCAAGGAGATGACTTTTAACTCATTTCACAAACTGGCTCTATTTCAAGTAGACAGTGTCTCTCTGGTATCAAACCAGGAAAAAATTTGGTTTTGCTTTCCTCTGAAAAATAGAAAAGGCAAGTAGCCATCCTACTGGTTGCCTTGAATACTAACAGGGAAACATGGTGTCTCACGGATTAAAAGGAATTCAATTTCACCTCTCAAAGCCTGGGGATGAAGTTCCATGTTGGTCTGATAACACATTTTAGCTGAGTATTGTAAAAACCTGAAGGGAGTTTGCTTTCTGCATTATCTGCTCCCCTGCCACTACTCTAGAGGTGCAGGCACTATTGCCTTCAGCAGGGAACAGTCACAAGTCGAATTCAGAGCTTGGACATTGTGKCAGGAGAGAGCTGTCACTGCTACACCAGTGGTTAGAGTGCAACATTATGCATCCACACGATACTTGTATCCTGGGAAAAATAGACTCTTGGTACAGAAGCAGAAAAGTAACTTTGGTGGGTTAAGTATTTTGGATTGAGAAAACTTAAACCACCTCCCTCAGGAAAAAAAACAAACAACAAAACAAAACAAAACAAAACAA